TCGCCTGAGATACACTCCATGGATGACTCGTCTAGCCGTGATAATTTATCACTGATAAATAAAACAGCTGACTTGAGGATGTTACTGCGTTTCTTTCTCGCATAGTATGAATGGCTTTTGCCGAGTTCTGGAGTAACATGAAAGTCTGCGAGAATATGGGGAACGCCTCTGGGACACAGGCTCATATAGAATTGATAGGCAGATGAATGAAACGAACCCACTGAAGTAATCCAACATCACACATTCAGAGAGCTGCCCTGAGAGAGAGCGTGATAGAGATGTCTTCCAATCCTAGTGAACAATCAACTTAACTAATCATTGTTCGGTTGTGTGGTCTAGTGGTATGATTCTCGCTTAGGGTGCGAGAGGTCCCGAGTTCAATTCTCGGCACAGCCCTCATATTTCGGAAGTAATATCCTAACGATTCGTTTCGAGCGTGCTAGCTAGCAAGGAAACGGATAATTGACAAATTTAAAGTTGGCTGTGTGGTCTAGTGGTATGATTCTCGCTTTGGGTGCGAGAGGTCCCGAGTTCGATTCTCGGCCCAGCCCTTGTACACACGCGCGAACGCTATGTTTTGACCAGTGGGTAGTGTGGTCGCCTAAACCCTTACTCCAGAGCCCATGTGCTTCGCCCCGCACCCCCCGAACAAAGTTCCAGTTATAGCAGCCTGAGGTGATCTGTTGTTGTTTGTCTCATCGCACTCGACATGGTCCCAACTGTTGCGTCCAACGTTGTCAAGGGGGTGGGGGGGGGGACGCGGTGTCATTATCAACTGGTCCGTCATGCCTCTGTAAGGGCGCTCCCGGATATGTACAAGTACACGAGGTGAGAAAAAGCGCAAAAAACTTTTTACACTTCTCGATTTGTGCGTGTCATCCTTGCGCAGGGGCCATGCTAATCTTCTCTGTATCGTACCTCATCTAACGAGACTTGAATCAAGATTCTTGATACAACTTTGGAACATCTGAGTGCGGTAACAGTTATACCTACCAGACGTTACAAGCTAATCTAGCGAGCTCCTCCGTTACACTACCTGATGTTGTCGTAGATCATATTCATACCGGATCATTACTTGCTGCGTATCTCGTGCTCCGTCGGAGCATAGATTCAATGTAAATGAGCTACATATCATAGTGCTCCCTCGCATTGGGAGGTCTATGGTTAATAGAACACATCCCTCTCCAAGTGTGGTTTCAGATCATTGCTCAAGCAAAAAGTAACACTCTTAAATTGAGCGATGATCCGAAAATCGTTGAGCAGAATTTCAACACCATCCCTTGCAGTAAAGAGAACGACTGATAATAATACAACATCATGCAGGAGCAGTAGTGTAGCGCACAATAGATGACAAAGGCTGTAGAGGCTCCATGCAGATCACAGAAAATGTTCAAAGGTTTTAATATCCTTGCATGACATTTGCTGAGTGTACTTACCCGTACATGGCCATGGAACTCTGCTCGAGCGTCCAGTTTGGATCCTTGTTGTGTCATCGGCAAGAAGCCACCTCATTATACCATGCGCTACGCTTGTTGTTGACGTAACAAGAGTCGTAGTTATCGAGGCAGATGAGCTCCCCAGTGAGGAGAAAATCGACGCATGTGCTACCTGAAGAATATATCTGAAGTGCAAAGCAATGTAACCACTCTATTGGAACGACAACGCCCTCATGATTTGACTATATGTAAACTAGGGCAACTAGGTTGGACCTACTACCCTTGATCCTACTTGTCTGTTTAGGTAGCCACCGTGCATCCACGGATGTTCATGGATCAAGTGCGGAGGCATCATAGGCAGGGGAGCAATTCTGAAGTGCCGCAGCAACTGATCGTTTGCCAGCGTAGTAGGAATCCATATGTACACTCGAGCATATATTATTACTTATCGGTCCACGAGAGAGGATAGTTGAGATAAGGATAACTCGGGTATTTAGCAATTGTAGCAGGTGGCATCGGTGTTACTACTGGCGGAACAGTGGATACAGGAGACCCGAATACGTACCTGACTTGAACATCGTTAGTAGATCGCTGAGTGGACACGATAAGTGACTTTTCCAGATTGGCTTGTGCTTGCATCGCCTCAGCACTAGCTAGATTAGTGTTCTGAGCCATGGCTACTGCATTGGCTGCTGCCTGCTTAGCCGCAGCAGCCGCTGCTTTGGCTGCCGCCAATGCCTTCAATCCAGATGCACCCGCGATCGTTAGTTCCACTGCCATGCACTGTTGAGTATATCTCAAAGAAAAGTGCCACAACAAGTTCGAAGTATGACCATTGACTCTTTGTAGTAAAGCAACTCGACAACGCTCCTATTGGAAGGAGATCGCAACTATCAACTTCGACCATTGACTCTTCGTGGTAAAGCAACTCGACAACGCTCCTATTGGAAGGAGATCGCAACTATCAACTTCGACAAATTGAGTGATTATACAGAGAAGCTGGGAAGATGACGCGCTTAGTCCATCACAAGTTGACCTGTACGCTCAGCATCACGAACTTGGAGGATACAATTGCATGAAATGTACAGGTTTCTTCACCGTGTCATACTCTATAGAGCAATGAGAGATAGTTTACCTGCGACCAATGTGATGACTCACAGTAGAGGGTGGGATATCAAGCCAACAGCGTACCCATATAAAAGGGATGTTTGGTGCTCCGTTGACAGCTCTATACGCCCTGCAACAACCTCCGACCAGAGTTAACGCCGAGAGTGATTTCCTACTTGACAGACTATCACTGCCAGCTAGTGGTAGAAAACATCAGCTTAGCTTGTCATAGGGCAGACGACTGATTCAGCTAATTCTTGATCGAGTATCATTCGGCTCACTTGAATGATAGCCCACCTTCTATCGGGAGTAGGCCTAATGAAGCTATTGCAGTGCGATAGCAGTGCGGTGGTAATAGTGCAACCTCGATACGTCAGTTAGCTAATCAGATACAAAGATCGACTGCTTGACCATAAAGCCGTTTTCACTATTGTGCACTAATCATCTTTAGTAACATCAAACTAACGTAACACCTTCATATCGTAAAACACCGTATTGGAGCAGTAAGTGGTGAGACGCGAATAGTTCTTCGCCTCTTCTTGCCACTCATAGCCGAACTCTTCCATAGTATATAAAACACTGAAGATTGCTGTCCAATCATAGATAACCATCAGGATATCTCCATCTTTGCAGTAGCCTAGTCGACCGGCACTGGGCCATCGGCATACCGAGTCGCTGCCTGAATAACGCCACACTATCTCGCCCGTATGGGAAATAATTGAGGTGGATTTAGGTCGAGAACTTAGCCGAGTGCAGAGGTGGTGTATGAATTATAGACCCTGTTATTACCTGCACTTATTTTCGATAGTGCAAAGCCAAATTAACATCTCCTTATTCGATCCAACCCGCGGCCGTGCCTTCCGTATCTCATCCTCAATCATCCCACCAACGACTGGATGTTCACAACGATCGATGAACCCCTCGAAAAAGTCTTTATACACTTTTTGCTGGGACGTGGATAACCGCTCAGGTGCATAGGCCGCTGTAGTATACAACTAAGGAGTGAAGCCTGGACGCGAGATGGAGCACAGGTCACTACCATCATCCACTGAGCATTGCATATATTTGTTGTATCATTCGTATTCTCGCAGAAGTGTATATCTTCACCCCCATTGTTTTCCCGAACCAGCATTTCAACCGCAGGACTCTCTCCGGGGTCACTAACTCCTACGGAGAGTCGCAATTAGTACATTACCTAATGTCCAAGTTATCTCATCTTCAGCACTACCTCCCTCTACTCGAGTCTGCTCGATCGTTGGCTGCTCTAGCGATGGTGATGATGGAATAGGAGCTCGCGAGTCTGGATGGCTAGAGACTGACCCCATACTAATAAAGGGGAATACTGAATGGAGGCGCGCAAGCCAACAATTGGTTGCTCTCGCAACCGAGTGAGTCCTTGTGAACGCAGTCAACAGTGAGTTTAATAGCCGCTAATGAATGATACCGCACAAACCTGTAATGACGACGTGACCATCCCAGACGAGTGTAATTAACCACTAAAGATGAAGATATTCATATCAAGTATAACGAGGAACACTAACACGCCAATGAAACTATCTGCATAAGACTTGTCTCCACCATCATCATGACCCCCTAATGATGATGGCCATTACCGTGTATAGAAGTACAGGTGTTGAGTAGGCTCAACATGGCATCTAAAGGAACGTGTCCAGCAGCAGAACTCGCTGATTCTAATCGACCACTCGGCACTAGTTCATATATTTTATCCAGTGTTTGAGTCACACTTCCTGCTTCCAAGAAATGCCTCAAACGCTGCCCTGCCATAGGATCTCCATCTGCGAAGCCTCCACGTGACCATACATCAGCAGCTACGGCCTTGCATAGCAGATAGCAGTAGTAGTTACCACCATAGTGTACTAGATGAGAGAACTGTGCTTGTCCAGGAGGGCTCAAGAGCTCAATCAAGCGTTCATTGCTCATCGCATGTGAGTGAGGAAGGAAGTGTGCAAGGTCTTCAGGAACACTACCATGGGCATAAAAGACCTGATCAACTAGAGCATATATGAGCTGCTGGGCTGCCTCTATATGCCCAAATGCCATACGGAAGTTGCCATAATCCTCCACAGCCTTAGATGATAAATTAGGTAAGAGCAAAGAGCTGAGCGTGTTGGGATCCAGCGCGAAGTATTCGAATAAATGGCTGGGGAACTCCACATAATCAATACAGCCCCTCGAGCCACTGAAATGCTGTAATGTGGTTTGGGATAGGATAGAATGAGCAGCATGGCCGAATTCATGCATATAGGTAGTCGCTGCTCCCTGCCCTAGAGCACCTTGAATCTCGGGTAGAGACAATACCATTGCAGTACGAGGAAGCTGCCTGCTACCATCCGGCAATACACAGCTACCCGCAATAGTAAATTGGGCTGACTGAACTTTCTTCCACGCTCTCTCACACGGATCTAGGTACAATATACCATAAGGATCAGATGTAGCCGCATCATGAAACTCAAACCTTCTAACATCATTATCACTCCATGTCTCTCCCTTAATATTGTTCTCCTTCATATCCACACCCAAGACCGTTGAAGATACCCTTTGGGATCCCTCGATCAAAGCGTTGATGGATAGATTAACACCAAGCTCTTGTAATGACGATGGCTGATTCATCTGCTTCCACATTGACACATAGAAATCAATATCCCATGGCTGCAGAGTAGCATTAGGGTCGTTAGTATGATCCCTTTTGGTGGACTCGAGTACGCTGAGCTCCCGGGCCAAACCAGGAAGTAGGGCCGTCCACAATTCCGATAAAAAATCCTTCACAGCGTCGCTACCCGAGAGGACCGACTCTCTCATCACATACTCATTCCATGTATTATATCCCCTTATTCTTGCCAGCTGCTGTCTTATACTCACTAAATCCTTCAATGCAGCTTCCTTCTTAGGCTCTCCTCTATGATTCATCTTCCACACTTTCTGCCTTACTGTAGGATCTTCGCAAGCCTTCAACAAGTATCCAATAGCAGCATGGTCTTTGGGGAGGAAGACCTCCGTAACGTCCTTATGAACAGTCCTCTTTGGTAGTAACCTGAGGATACTCATCCACTGTTGAGGTACATTCAACCATTGGCCATCATCTGACGGATCGTCATTATCCCCTTGACTAACAATCTCGAAGCTCTTCACAGCATCCTCTTCTTGTAGTGCTATCAGTTCCTTCTTCCGTTGCTCATCAAGATGGACCCCTTCATTCTCCATAGCCTCCCGCATGGCCTTGATGACATCCTGTTCTTCCCTACTACACCCGCCATCCTCAGCAACTGCTCTTTTGGCTGCAGGTACACATTTATCATATAGGGTACTATCGACATTTGCCTCACTCATATACTGTGCTATGATATTCACAGCTTCACTGGCCTCATTGACCCAATGATCATCGGAATGAACATTACGTGTTAACTCAGCGGCATCAGCAATTCTACATAACGAATTGGATACTCCATCTATCATATTGACTACTTTATGCGGAGAGTCGTCTATATTCCATGCCCCTAGAGTAGCTCTAGCATCTGCCACAGCCGTCGTAGCAAGGCGAGGGAAATCCTTAGGTTTCCTTAACCCAGGTACGCCGAGGTAGTCCACTGCAGTAGAAAGAGTCGCTTTAGGCCATGCAAGCCTCCGCCATAGAGATGCTGCTGCCGTCTTGGGTATATCTCGACGTAGCATCATGATAACAAACGCCGAGTTGGGAGGAAAACTTCAATACGAACGGACTGTCCCATATGAGGCGACAGCGGAAGAGGGCCACGACAAACACCACTTGATTAAGATAACCTACTCGAATGAATGCAACATACACTGTAATACGATAGAGACTGTGAATGCTTCAAGTTCGAACCGGTGTGTCCTTGATGGACTGAAATGAGGTTGAGAAAGTCTGCCGTCAATATAGCACCCGGATCAGCATCAAGTGAGAGAAGCAATAGGAGACGAAACAAGGGCACAACATCATTCGAAGTCACTCATCATCATCTGATTGGTATCAAGCGAAGATAGATATTACATGAACCGAGCATAGTGCGGATGCTGGTAATCATTTCGAGAATAGAGAAGTGTGTTATACGGCTGTCTAGCAGTTGATTGTATTGCCAGACGTGAAATAAGATAATGTAGCAAGTACGTCTTGCTGATCGATCATGATGGCTCGGCAATAGAAGCATTCAAGAGTGGGGATAAATGCTTCATCACGGTCCATCAACCTGATTAAGCAATACATGAGGTACACTGACTACAGCCTTGACGGCTCGACCATTAGTTAGCGATTCAACAATTCGTTGGATGATGATTAACCGTCTCAGCGGCTACGACAGAAAACGACGACAGCAACAAAATTTAGACATTCTACATAGGGATATTTCACCGAATTGTTGCACTCATCCGTTGTACACATACCAGCATGACTGGGAGAACTACAAATACTGTAAATTTTACAGAAATGATACTATGTAGAGCATACTATAAATGCTGGTCCACTGTCAGAAAATGATATCTCTATCATGAGATTAGTATTAAAGTTCAACCCTTGATGTGCCAATTCGGGTTGGTTCATCCATCCGCGCTGATGACTGTGAAGTAGTAACAGCCTTAGTGGGGATGTAGACAGACAAGGTGTGCATGACACTCGAAGAGCAAGAAGGACATAGCATATGTCGCATGATAACCCTCTCTGCACATTTGGCGCAAACAGTACCATGACCGCAGGGGTAGAAAACCTAAGATGAGCAATAAAGGAGCACACTCGTAACATGCATGCTAACCTTTCGATTATCTGGATCGGCCGCCATCTGTACCCCGGTATGACACATTTCACAAGGGAACAGTTGCTTCATTCTGTTGGCTAGCGATGATGTCGATGACGATGGTGCCCCGGCTGGTACTGCCTTGGTAAGAGAGTCAGCAGGATACCCCGAGCCGAGACCAGTATCCTCCTCCACAGGAGAGGACACAAATTCTTGCAATTTCCTGGGCGGCAAATAGGCATCCGTATTAGAAATATTCTCATCGTTGATATTGGGAGGTGAAAAACCAGAACCTGACGTTACGGAGGGGATATAATAGGACGTAGCGAGTTCTGAAGATGAGAGTACACAAACAGACGAGTGTTGGTACCATGACGGTTCTTACCAAGGTCAACCAACTGTCGACTAGCATGGTCTGGACTCGACGATGAGCATTGGCTACGATTAGCATATAGAGGGTAATCATCCATTGGAGAGGCCCGAGGAAGAGGAATTATTGAAGGACCATCCTGAATGAAATATATAGAGGGAATAGTTAAGAGAAGGATTGGACACAAAAGGACTCATACCTGCTGAGCCATCTTTCTGGTCTCCCTACTGCGCACTGGTGATACTAATGCGTTGACCAACTGCATGTCACCATCATCCATACAATAGTTATTGCACCCAACCAGCCGTCTGGTTGGAATAGCAGTAGTTGGTCGATTGGAGACGTGAGTTTCCAATGGGATGGGAATCAATCCCCCATCGTTGTTGATATTCAACGGTATCTGCTCGCTTTGAGTATGACGATAGTCCCCTCTTTTAGGCGAAGATTCTCGTGAGGTAACCGGAGTATTAGAATTGGTTATGCAAAGCTCGTGTTCTCCATGGGCAAACCTAATGTCCAGATGGTCCACACCCAGTAGATGGCAGTGACCACTACTCACCGGCATCTCGAGCCGTACTGACAGTGACCTTGCTTCCACCAATTGCAGACAACACTTTTATAGACACCTTCAGTGGCTCGAAGCTCCTTCGGTCCATGTGCATATTTGCAATCGTCACCTAGTGTGCCTGAGAGAACGCCATAATCACAGCCTCTAGCGAGAAGACACGATTACATTTCCCTTGAGCATACAATCGACAGAGGGTCGTCTTCCTCAAATTCGGTGGTTCCCTCAACTCATCCGCGTTATGAGCGAAATAACACCTGATGAAGGATCACCTGTTGGTAGTAGACAACCAGTGTCACGAGGCTAAGTCTTAGAGGCAGCCCATCCCGGCCCAGGCACCAACTTCTTGCCGTATCTGCATTTTCCTTCCAAATATAGTTTACATACTCGAGTCTTCAATAGCTGCTTGCTTACATCAATTTTGGCTGAGCAGTGAAAGGGTAAGCAACGTACAAAACATCTAGGCTGATGATTCATGCATATGTCTCACGACATCACGCTAACCCTATGTATTACTCCCTTCATTTGAATCTCCTACTGTCAGTCTATGCCTTAAAAGTTGCTGCTGTTTCCTATTACGACGGCCAGACGATCCGTGTATAGGGGATACTGGTGCCGATGCTGCAACTAACCGGGGCTAAGACAATAGTATGCGAGTAGAAGCCGCGCCAACGGTTTTCTTACTCGGATATCAGATCCCAATATAGAATCATCACGACTCCCCAATTGAAGATTAAGGGGGATATCAAAAAGCACAGGTTCGTTATTGTGTTCACTTATCCCCGGTATGACACTTTCGTCGTCCTTCGAAAAGTGCGTAGCGAGATTGTCATCCACCATTGGTGAGATTGATACCTTGGGGAATGAGTCCAACTCGGCGGATGGAGGAGCACATCGATTGACTGGTGAGCTCGGAGCAGATATCGATACCTTACAGACATCACCACATGAGGATATGCATGGATACTATCCATTACCAATGCACTAGCTAACGCATCTCCGAATGCCTTATAGTCATCCGCGGTCCAAAAGTCCGTCGAACTAGAGCGCACTGGAGCCGACGTCGTGGGAGTATCAAAAGCTCCTGAGCAGAACGCTCACTGTTGCTATTGTATATCTAATACTACCAGGGCGCTTGCTTCCCCCAAGGCGACCAAATTGAGGCGATTGGCCAATTCCATGACGGTCATCCATCCCAAGCGGTGAGCGAGCGGGACTCCTCGATGGGGTCCCTGGCATATGAGTCACGGAAACTTATACTGACGACGAAGGCTCACAGAGTCTCATCGAGGGAGGGAAGGCTCGCTACAGCAATACAAACCCTAGTCACCCTCTAGTGCCAACTTCAAGTTTATTGATGAGACACGTGTGTAATGTATACACCCGCTCACTACAACTCAGCTCTCCCATTAGCCTCTACTCAACACAAAGCGATGTTCTGGTCCAGAACTATCAACAACCTATTAACAACTCAGCACAATTTACATGATGGAATAAAACAAGGGCAGCTCCAAATTTTACATGCAATTTGCACGACACATGCACCATGATCCACAACATATCAGGCCGCATAGTGATGGTGATCGTAGACATTATCCTCTTCGATAAATGGCAATCTCTATTCACATTCATATAGGACTCCTCGTCCTCACTAGCATTGTAATATCATCGGCGAGCAGTAGTCTACCACCAACGCCTGTGACATTGGATGATGATGACTATCCTTACCAATGCGTGTAAGTATCGTACTATGTGAACTTCCTACATAGACACAACCTTTCAGTTGTCATTGCCCAGAGAGGCGTAAAGTTAAAGAAGACAATGTAAGTGGCGGTGATGGCTCTACCCATCATGCGGTATTCCTCGTTGTTGTTAGCCTAGGGAGACAGTTTGGGAGGTAGATCCAATCGGCGGATGTGAATATGATACTGGCATTACCCCATGCTACTGTATGACCAATACCGTAGCGAGTGATGCAAACATATTGTATACGGTGGAATCAACATTAACAAGGTTATTAACAAGAGGAAGCGGTAAAAGTTCGATCTGGTGATGTACATTGATGATTATAGCATGTCCATGCAAATAGTGCTGATATTGTTGCTCTGATGTTAACGTATCGTCAATCCCTGCGGTGGTCAGAAATCTCTTAGGGATACTAATGAGGGCAGCTGGCTTGGCGTAGACATAACTCTTTCTTTTTGTTATGGCCATTACCAACCCCATCATCGAACGGAATTCGATATCGCCAACACTATTTCATCATACTGATACCATCACAATGTCTTGGAGCTATCGAACGATAGCTAGCTGTAACCACGATCTCTCGAGGACCATCGACGACCCGGGAGGAATACACAGGTGGATAAAAACCCAGACAAAGATCTGCGATAAGAAACTGTGATCACAGCGAGAACTACAGTCTATGCAGTCTTAGCATCTTTCGTCTTCTTCCTCGAAGAAGCCTTCCCTATCTCCCTCTTTGATGATGCCGCACCCTCTGTGGTGGCTGACTTGGAGTCTGCTATTTGGAGTGTTCGTCGATAAATGGCATTGCAGTAAAGGCTGGCCAAGAATAGCCCGATGGAAACGGAGAGATCCACCGCGAATGCGTTCAAACCTGAAAGTAGGATAACCCAGAGGTAGTAAGTATGGCAGTAGGAGAAAGCACGGGGATACTACTAATCTCCACAGCTTCATTGAAGAGATACTGGTAGACAATGAATGCTGAGTTGAGTGCATGGAATATGGTCATCACCAAGGTGCTCTCTCGTTTAACGATGTCGGAAGGACTCAGTGCACCTCTAGCGATGACAAAGGCTATAATCAGCCAACTTAACCCGAGCGACCTAACAGCAGATCTCTATCTATTGGGAAACATGATGGACGTATTACTACCCATTGAGGTCCATCTCCTCTGCCTTCGACCTGGATATGATGGTCACTGCCATGTAGACGAAGAGTACAGCCTCCAACAACATCGTGTTGAGGCAGAAGAAGTAAGCCCATGCCCCAGGTGCCTGTGCATCTCTTTTACTTGTGAATAGACTAGACATTTATGTACCCAACGAAGACAACTAACGATGGTCTCATGGGCACTACTAGAAGTATCGTCCGCCTAACACCTGCCATCCACACATAAAGAAACATCACAAAAAGACTAAAGGGATGTTGGGCATGAAGAGCACCCACTACGAACATTGTCCATCAGATACACCATCATCATCTGTTATACAGCTTTGCACAGTAATCATCCTCAGCAGACCCATGAGCAGCGCGACCCGCTAGGATAATAGCCGCTAGACAGATAATAATGACGGCTGTCAACTGAAACGTAGCATAATAGCCACGAAGGCGCAAGGCAGGTCTCACATACCGCGAACCCTCCGACAAATCGAGTAATTCTCAGCCTATGATCATCAACCTATAATAGACACTGAATGCGTGGCTCGCGTGGATATGAGTACCGTATTAGAACGTAGAACTATGAGAGGCATGATAGACAGACCTCCGATCAATCCACCAAGATGACCAAGATGATCCACTGCACCATGCAGGAGCATCTATACTCAACTTGGACTACACATACAACTCAAAACTACTACCTCCCACATCATCAAACCAATCGCCATCGCTTTCAACTGTTGCATGGCTCTAACCTTGAGCTCCTCATCAAAATGTGGCCACATTATCCAAGACACAGCTAAATCCGCTCCTATGAGGCCATAGCAAGCAGTACTAGCTCCAACACCTGACGGCATACAGATCAGAAATGTTTATCACTTCCACAATACCCGAGACCCGACCAGCCGAGGAGAGAAGGTTGCCACAAATACCCGATCCCAAGAAGAGCACACTGAACCTAGAGTAACGCCGTCGGCATTGGTAGGAGTATGATGTAGCCATCATTACCTCAGAGTCCCTAGCTGTGCCTCTAACCTAACACCTGACGCTAGTTCAAATGATGCATTGAAGAGTAGATGAGGTATCGACAGATGCAGCAGTATAGGCATGAAGAAGCGGCGTGCCTATCCAACGACAGGCTTGTGGAAACGGAGAGGGGCCTGGTACCTCCCATAGGTAGGGTAAGCCATACAGAAGAAAGCATCGCTCCGCCTTGTAATCGCTGGCTCCTAGTCGCTGTAAGACAGGAGGGCCTCGGAATAAGGAGCCTATGTGATTGATAAGCGGTTATATTACTCGGAGTGATCCATCCTCGTGGTTCCAGTACCATACTGGCAATGATATAGAGCATCACTTGTATGGCAACGATAACAATAGTCAATGATTGAGGTCGTACACTGAGGCTCCCAAAATACGTCTGAGTCACCAAGTCGCCTAAGGAGCCATTCGACCTTTCCCTACCTCAAACCAGCCTCCCATTCCTTGTCGATTACCGACCACGGTACGGCGACTAGATGCTTGTTCTATATCGTCAACCACCTCCTCCTCCCTAAGGAAGATCAGCAGAGCCGATAAGAGCTCAAACTTGCCCCACGGGACCTTACTCTGTCGCGGCTACGGTTCCTTCATCCGCATTACTTCTCATTTGGATCCATCTACCTACACCACAGTTCTGTGCTACTGATGTTTCCATAAGCAACAGGCTCCGATCTAGCATGAACATTACACCATTTCACCGACCTCGATTCGAGCCGCCAACTCGAGCCTCTTCCTCTGCTGATGGTGTCCGATGGTAACTTACTTGAGAAGGCCGGCTTATAGACGATGGAGCAGTACCCATATAAAATAAAAAACCTCAATGATTGAAACTGTAGCAGTCGTGCTCTTTGGAGCCACCGATGACCCTTAAACCACATGATAGCACACAAGACTTCATACGTGCTGTAAAGTGTTACGTGTTAAACCTACAACCGGTGGTACTTACCAACAGTGGCAGAGTAATGATCATCATCAACAGCAACACTACACATCGACATTCTTGTCTCTGAATCGGGCCAGCATATCCCAGTAGTGTTCAGCATGGTATTCTCGTAGAGTACGACGAGCAAAGCTCTCACCCGGTGCCTGAGGGATATGAACATATCAGTTGTGGATGTAGTAGTATGTCTGCAGACCTGTATCAACTTCCATGATGGGAGTCCACTTCTCTCCATAGGGAAGAGCCTCTTCGGTACCACACCATGCCACATGCGCACACATCCATCAGAGTGACGAGCAGTAACACCCTCTGTATCGGAATCGTAGTCAGAGTCTACACCGAGATTCATAACATAATACACACCAGAGCTCGACATTACATTCCTCCTCCTCCTCGGCAGCAGCAGCAGCATCAATATCATCCTCACCCTCCTCTCCTGGCCTCCGACGATTACCCAATCGCTCATTCCAATTGATACGTCGCAGCATCAGCTTATCGTAGCGGCGCCTACTCGAAGATCAACATGCAATAGCAATAATGATGAACGACACCGTTATTACACAGCCTTCCTACTGCCTTCTACTATTATCACATTTCCAACCTCGGGACTCACTACCAAGCCCATACCGGATAAGTGTAATTGCTCAGCATTTTTAGAAACCTACACGTGCAATGATCACCATCACTGTGTTGGTACTGCTATTGAGATGCTACTTTAAACTGATGTCGTTTAGATGACAGATCCTTCACTTTATACACTGATACATGTACCTAATATGATGGCCTCCTCCACTACCACCAGGACCACACAGTAACATACTTGTGTTTCAGTTTCAGGAGCGTTAATCCACTTCCCTGCCTTCTTCAGCTTCTTCTCTTCAGGTGGTAGTTTACGTTCCTCATTCCTCTTCTCATGTGCCTCCCGTCTAGCAGTAACCTGTAAGTAACCAGTAGCAGTACCCCCATTGTCGAGACCTTATAAACACCTCAGCCCTAACACGTTTCTCCACAGCAGTTGGATCCTGGACAGCCTCATCACCCAATACCATCATGAGGTTCTTCATGCGGACCTTCGGTGGTGGTGGCGGTATGAGACCCTATGGAAAAGAGAAAATCCAATAACACTAGTTCCACTACCAGAAACTACCATCCTAATCTTATCCTGCATATTAGTAGCCTTCTCCTTCCTCCTTAATCTCCTCAACTTCTTACGTTCAGCCGGTGTTAATGAAGCCATACCCTGCTTACTACACTACAACAAGCTCACCATACAGACATGCTACCTCCTGCTTGTGTGGCTGAGCTGCAGAACGGGCCGGAGGAGGATGCTCAATATAGGATGATATGACCTTACTAGGGCCGCCAGCATCGATTACTATCTGATCCCACCACTCCTGGAAAGGAAACCATGCCCACTAATATCAACAGCAGATTCCTAAACTTACCACTGTCGGTGGGGCCTCTCTGGGATGAATCCTAACTGTGACACCCAAGGAGATCGCTGGTGTAGCAGCTGCTGGTACACCATCTGCTTTCACCTTCTCTTCCTTCTCAACGGCAGCAGCAGGTGGTGACTCTACACCCTCCTGCTTCTGCATCTCTATTTCCTTCTTTGTCCAAGTACCACTCTCGTTCTACATCATGAACCGAATACTAGTACACAACCAACCGGGAGCTTACAAAGTTAAACCCCATCCTAGGTTTCCTCACTGCACCAGCAACATGCACCGTTGGATCAAAAAAACGATCACGAGTGGCCCCAGAACGTGTCTTGCCTATAGGTAGAGTAACATGATGCCCAGCTGGAGGTAACTACCCTTACCCAGCTTCATCCCACTGGCCACTGTATCCTCAGTCTTGGACTTACTCCTACGCATCATGTCCAAGGCTGCACGATTCCTGAATGGGAAGTTCCAATTCACAAAGGCCTGCTGTTACTTACTGATTGATCTTCAGCGTTGATATCGCCACTGGGGGCCGTAGCTGGGACATGGGTACCTGGTAACTCATGATGAGTACCATACAATGAGAATAGTCAACCACATCGTGCAAAGAGGCTGCTCACCAATTTGCCATCTGCGTCGATCTCTCTACCATATTGGTCCAACCTCAAAGCAACTGGAGCCGATACCACACCACCAACAGGTCCTACCAATGACTAATGATCGACAGCCATCATGATCTCCTTGTGAGGAGTCCATTCCGAATAGTACCGCTACTGAAACCCTTCATCTGCATAGCCTCAGCCTGTGCTACTGCTCTAGCTGCTGCCTCTGCAGCGATACGACCGTGCCTAATATTGTAGTCGATTACAGAGCCATCACCGTTCATCACACCCAGCACATACCTCAGAGCATTCAACTGCTCACTCTGTAGCTGTAGTGCAGACTTCTGTTGCTGTGCCACAGCCTGATGAACTCTCAAATAAGACACCACAACCAATGTCCCCACTCCTCCCTACCTGTGCTCGTTCCTTAGCCAGTCTAGCAGCAGCAGCTGCTGCGGCAATCTGGGCAGCATCTAGTCTAATGGCAGGAGCCGTACCCCCTGTGAGCACAACCTCAAGAGTGTCTGTAAAGATAGAGCCCTATACCTGGTCCAACAACCATAGCCGAGGGGGCTGTATCAAATCGTGATTTGCGTGGAGCCTTCTTGGTGATACCACCCTCATCGCTAGCAGAATCATGATCCCCATCGCCAGCTGAACGTAAACATCATACCAATGCCCCATCCACCATAACTACCTGGTGCCGCGCCCCATCGAGATCTACGTTTCCGTTTCTCCTTAGTAGGCGGAGCAGCAACGTGATCCTTCCCACCCTTCCTATCCACCTCCTGCTCTACAACATTATCCACAGACGTCTTGGTCTTAGCTGTGCTCTCAGACATCGAATCACCAATATCTCTAAGTTGTCACAATAAATTAGCCTTTATTGTTCTAGACGAGTCCCCGATGCTCATTATTACTGCTCTGATATATAGAGTACTCGTAACGCAACATGAGAATACTACCCAACTGAAACGATCCATTCATCTCCTTGATGCCTTCTACTACTATTCTAGCAAATCCCTGGCTAAAGATTCTTTACCAAGCTCCCAGTGTGTGAAACTATGAGCCACGAGCAAAGCCATCACCATCAATGGGCAACGTCTTAGGATGCTTTCATACCCACTACACTGAGTTAACTAGAGTCAGGTGTAGCACAGACAGTAGTAGTAGTAGCAGCAAGACGATCAGGAGTAGTACAAATATAGCAAGTAAATTCCGGGTGAGACGACGACAACAACCACAATATTAATAACGAATATCATCACCACTATAATGGTGTTCTGGGGTGATTCCTTAACGATGATTGACTAAGCTTAGCAGTAGGAAGGAGCAGTGCAGCAGACAAAGAAAGGGGGCAACGAGAGGAATATATCATATACAATAGGGGGAAGCGGTGACAGTAGTACGGTCATATTTCGAATTCCAGAGCCTCCATTGGCATGATGATGAGCATTTCTATGTAGATACGTATATAGCAGATAAGTATAAGGGAGCAGTGATATAAACGCTCGTGGCCGTCGCACTCAAACGTGATGACAGCAACAGAAAAACTTCGACACCTTCGCCTCCTGTGTACCTCACTGGTTACCTCCAAACTGGAATCGACCAGATGAGGCAGATGTACCAGTAGAGCCAAAGTTAAAGCCTAATAAAGCAGGTTGATATAATAGAGGCTAAAAGCGTCGCAGCTGGTACTACCGCCAGTGGGAGGAGCAGTCGCCGAGTCACTGCCTGATGCTTCCATCTCTTCAACATCATCCTCTCCTTCCAATGGGAAATAGTTCTCAAGGATGCGTACAGCCTACAAGCATGGGGAGTATAGTAAACATCCACTAACAACAATAACCTCACCTTGAGATAAATCTCATCACTACTATCAGATTGAAGGTTCTCAATCTTCGTTAAACCATCGGCCTCCTCTACCAGTTGTAGATATCTACACAATGAGGATCCCATACTCCTATCCTGATCCATAGGTATCCTACGGGTTCTCAGTTAGACTCGGATTCGCCTCCATTGCTTGTAAGCCCACCTATCATCCAACTATACTCTCACCATAGTAGACTCTTTAGCTACCCTTAGTATATTCTCTAGAGCCTCCAAGCATACACCCACTATACGGGTATCATTGACATCGAGTAAAGCACAGAGAGGTTTGATGCATCCAGCTTGGACGAAATGATCCACCTGTTCTGGTGATCCCCCTGTTGTAGCATTCGACAATGCCCTGAAGAATAATTGGTAGTAATCCAGCAATGATCCCTAGTACTACCATGATGCCTCCTTCTTTATATCAAACTCAGCAGTAGCCATCAGCTCCACTATCTTACTCGCTATCTGAGCATACGTCATACTCCACCTCCTTAAGGCACGAGTATTACTCCAGCATTGATGATCTCCTGAATCTGCTCCCGGTTCCCAGCTGTTATATTGGATATAGTCCAGCAAGCCTCTTTACGGATATTCTGAAATACAACAACGTCATACAAAGGATAAGTTACCCTCCCCTGATGACTACCTTCTTGGGGCTATATAGAAGCTGACAGAGCTTCTCAGCAACACCACATTGTATGATAACCTGAGTCTGCCTATCATCTCCAGTAACAATGTTACCAACTGTTCCTGAGATACACCACCTTAGCCATTGAACAGGCTGGAACTGCAATTATTACGTAGAGCTGGTGTTTGGACGAGGCTACTGTCGTGATTTAGAAGCTCTACTAACCTACGGCATACACCGTGCTCAATGACGGCCTCGATACGCTCATTGGGACCATCGGAAATGTAAGACAGAGCCCAGCATGCATCCGTCAACACTTCAACCTTGAAGAATTATAACTACTACTACTACCTATCGTATGTGCTTCTAGACTCACATCATGACTATAGAGGAGGTTACTGAGGGTCGGTAAGGCGGGAACAATCATCTCAATGGGTGGTTGAGGCTTTCCACGACATAGATTAGACAAGGCCCAGGTAGCATTACGTAATAGAGAGAATTTATCATTCTCACGGAGTAGAGCCAAAAGTGGCTGTAACACTCCAGCTTGGAGGACTGTATCACGTAGAGGTGGTGAGTCGCCTGCTATGTTGCCAAGAGCCCATACCGCCTGCTCTTTAACATCCAAGCTAGGCGATGATAATAGTGCGATGAAAACAGGTATAGTACCTAACATCAAAATGCTGCCAACACAAGCATTCCTATGACGATCTATTACCAGCACCAACAACAGCCTCAGTTTGAACTCGAGTACCACTAGCTATATTAGTGAGTACCTGATAGTGATGTAAGTACTGCTGATATTCCTAGACTCGAATGTGAGGCAAACAGCGTGGAGGTACTACCCAAGCCGCTTCAAACTGCAAATCCGGACGGTTGATATCCTTGAGAAAGTCCACCATACGAGGAATGAGGCCCGCCTCGATAACCTGACGTAGTGCTCCTCATAGTGCGACATTATAGGCCTCTATTACATATTCGATGGGTGGATTCTTTTCGATAGATAGCAACTTCCTCACATACTGAGTAGCTTTGAACTGTACTACAGGATCAGGGGAGTTGCACCCAGCTACTGCCTCACTCAGTTCTTGGAGGTTGGGTACAGGCAATGTTCCACCTTATAATGCAGCCATTGATGATCGTCAATGTGAAACGGCCCTATTACCTCCACTAGAGCCTGCAGCAGCAGTACCGCCACCACCAATACTCATCCTTCTTCGTTGAGCCAACTGCTTCTCTTTCTCAGCCTTTCTAATCTGCACCGTCTCATCCTCTCTTCGACGTCGGGTATCGTCAGTATCACCAGTCTACAATTATTGCATCACAGGGCAGCAGAGCGGATCTAGCGTTACAGATTGTAACTTACAACTACTACTAGTAGTATGACCAAGTCCTACGAATCACAACCGATCGATCTTACTTTCTTATAGTTCTTCCGACGGGCCGCGAGACGATCTTCAAGATTCGACATAGCGCCAAATACAACAACTGCAACTGCTGTACAACGATGCGCAACGAGTCAGATACAATTGTGTATCGATCGCTCGGGCGAGCGCTTATTCCCCTCAGCTGACCCAGTAGGAAAATTGACTTAACCAAATTATTCAACGGATTGTAAAGGCGGATCAGCGAGCGATCATGAGGAGCCTGGACTCTACCAAGTCCACTATAGAAAAACCGGTATGCCTGGGGAAGATAATCAATACTTCTGAAATGATAATATAACAAACGAGCTAAGGTAGGACGTATCAGCGATGATCAGTTTGACCAGAATTTAAGCTTCCCGAGAACTAACTAGAGGGGCTCTCATAGAGTCCTGATCCATAGACCTATCCACACCAATATGTTTGTCACTGGAAGTCGATATATTCTCGGGCACCGATGTTACTGCCACTACTGGCAGTGGGAGGTGGTGCTCATCTCCGTTCGTGGAAAAGCCTCCCGCGACATCGGAGGTATTCCCTGCCACTGCTGTATCTGACAGAGGAAGAATATGATATGATAGATCACCATCACACCCTTGTGTGTCGAGAGTCGAGAGTGACACGAGGGCCTACCTCCTTGATGGCCGCTCTCGAGAGCAGACTCAATATCTTCAGCAGCATTGCTCATCTCTGTTTCTTCATCGTTAGCCGTAAAAGAGGTGGATCGTTCTATAGGTATGTATCTGACCGTTGTTATTAATCATACTCGAGGTATTACATCCTTACTCTCCTCCAAAGAGGGACATTGGCATGAACCAGTTACGCAGAAGGTTGGTCTCTACTTTGGCCAGAGTTCGAGTAGATGGTTGTAGTTTATCCACAAAGGCGAACCTGATGACACTTCATTGGTATATGCCATCCACGACTTCGCTCAACACTGTTCAAGTAACTTGCCTAAAACCCCTTAGCGGAATGAGATCTACGCTCCTCAACTGGTAGTACCACCGATACCGCCACATGGCACCTACCTGGGACTTGAATCGAGCAGAGCCAATAACGCTGCGGCGACGAGGTCAAGACGAACTCTCCAAGTTAATACCGATACGACCAGTATGAGGACACATGGGTACCTTATACGATATCGTCACCGCGCCATAATACATCATCGAGTCCACGAGTTAACGAGGAGCAGCAGAAATGTAGACGTAGGCATATTACCATTTGTTGGGTATAGAGTAACTACCGAGTTGCATAGGCTCACGATTAATGATGCATTCCTTGGTGATCATGAAGATGGCCAATGCGAAGAGTCCTGATGATGATGAGACTATGAAGGTAGCCATGGCTGTTTCAGTAGCATGTCAGGAATACTCGAGGGAGGATGACAACAGACACTCACCACTGAACGTCCTATTTTCCAGCCTAAGCCCCACCGAAAAACGAATCAACCTGTAAGAATCGAATATCGACATGAGCTGTGTTGTCGACATACCGGTCCAGCCCGACGAATGGTATGACGAGAAGGAATGGAAGCAGGATAGTGGTATAAACGGTGATCAAAAACCATAACAATAGACCTGTAGATCCCTGAATATGAATAGTATGGATTTTCAACCGATACAATAGCCTATCACCTTGGCCCTCTCAATAGATGGCAGTCTGGATAGAAGGTAGTAGCCCACAGGTAGACCCACTATCGTTGTAAATGCTGAGACAGTATCGTGAGCGAGTAAAACAGGGACATGAAGTACTCACCGTGCTGGGTGTAGAGGAATGGACAGGTCACGAGTACCCAAACCCGATGGGGACGCCATAAGATCCGCACTGAGGCAGATCAGTCATCGCTACTCACTACCGTTCGAGAGTACCGCTAAGTTCCACGAACTCGAACTGAGCGTGGGCTTGTGTGGTCTCCAGGAATAGTCCAAACATGAGAAGGGCGACATACACCAAGACGATTGCTCTGGTCATACCAGGAGCGGCTTCCCATGCTACTCCAAGGGCTTCTCCCATGATCAGGGCCGTGAGAAAATCAGTGATATAAAATCCTGGACAACGCATATCAGAGGAACCGTTTAGTAACCGAAGTGGTAGTAGGCAAATATGCATTTAAGAACGCAACAGAATGAACATTATAGGACTTCAAAACAGGAGAGGAAAAATAGCATGTTTTGCAAGACGAGGAATATCCCACATGTTACTTCAATCAATGCTTGCTACACTGAGTTGGGCTATCTCGCCAAGAGCTTTTGAAGAGCTTACCATCCCTAGCATACATGGTAGAGGGTGATGGCCCATCAGAGACCATCTACCGAGGAGGACGATCTACCCAATGTTTGGTTGCTATGAACGTGGCCAGAAGCCACAAACCTGCAACAACACGAGTACAACATCATTCAACGCAGACTCAGCCCGTAAGTATTGGTTCCAGCCGGAGTAAGGGTACCCATCACGCTGATGAATACACCGCTTATCGCCATCAAGCATTCTAATGTCACGACCAAATCACTGGGGTCAATGCCTAAGGAGATGTTGAAAACACCGCTAGAAATGAGGTAGACGATTGAGGATGATAATGGTGGCGAGCAGGGATAGGGGGAACCTCTGCGGCTATCCGAATTGATACTGTAAGGCATCCTTGGTGGAGGCAGTATCGTTCATACGACCCCTACTACCAGCGAGCACTTCCGGTGCACTCGTATGTCTCAACACATTACCCATCAGCCATGCTATGTTCATCCTCATCGGAGTATCGCAACCGCCCTGTTCACCTACAGAGCAACTCCTTCATAGGGCCGACACCCTCTACTCGCAATTAACGGTAGTGGAGGGGAAGATATCACCCACTGCTGAGACGTGAGACGTACAGGCGAAAGGGCACTGCATCAAATCTAAGCGAGATGCATAAAAACCAAAGAAGCGCGCGCCATTAATGGAAAGTAAAGGTTGATATCCAGGTGATGACCATAGCGCAAGTGAGAATCTAAACTGCAAATTCCAAAAAAACAAGAACTGCAGGTGAAAGCGGAGAAAGGGAAACCCGAAACCCCACCCGAAACCCGACGGGAAACCAGAAACCCGAACTGTTATCCAAGGCTAAGTCGAAATGCAAGTGAGAGCATGAGCTAAACTTCTTTAGAAAAGAGGCCTATTCTTTCGAAATGAGGATTTCCCCCAGGCGAAACACGCAGAATGACAAAATTACATGATGTGCTGCTAATAGCAGCCTGCTATTGTGCAGCGGAGCGAACGCGAGACTTCCCCATTATTCAACCTACTGGTCTGTGAGTATATCGTTTATTATGAAGGTCAACGAAGGGCCTTCTATATCCAGTTAATCCTCATCATTGCTAGTGGCGTTATTGGATTCGTCTACGGGTAATATCGTGTGATCTATATGCAATAGCATGGTACTGTAGGTACGCTGTACAACGGTTTCTCTACACGTTCTACATCCTATCGGCAGGAACGGCCCTGGCTACAGTGGTAATAATAATGGATCAAGCGTTACAGATTGCAACTTACACCTACTACTACTACTACTACTACTACTACTACTACTACTACTACTACTACTACTATGACCAAGTCCTACGAATCACAACCGATCGATCTTACTTTCTTATAGTTGTGCCGGCGGACCGCGAGACGATCTGCAAGATTCGACATAGCGCCAAATACAACAACTGCAACTGCTGTACAACGATGCGCAACGAGTCAGATACA